CGAGTCTGATCAGGAGAACATCGCCAGGCTGCGGGAGCTCTGGAGTAAGACCGTCGGCTGAAGCCGCGGCTGGCACAGCGGTCAGTACAGGACCCCAGCTGTGCCCTTAGGGCCTCAGGGCCTGCGCGTTCGGCGCAGATTGGCTGTCCAGAGCCTATCCCAAAGACCCACCTTCGATGGTAGATCTCCCACAGCTTTTCGAGCTAGGAGCCCAGTGCCCGATGCGATCCACCAGCAAGCTCCTTTCCAGTTGCTCGAAAAAGAAGCTTCAACCCTTGGTGGACAAGGTTGAGGACCGACTCCTCGAGTTGTTCAAAAGCTTGTTGGGTGGCAACTGGCAGGCCGCCCTGCAGGGTGGCAAAGAAAGCTCGAGCAGTGGTGCCAAGATCACTTTCTTTGACCATGTGAAGGATGGCAACCATGGGCCAGGCGACGGCATGCAGGGCTTGTCTAAGGAGGATGTAAGCAAGCAGCTAGCTTTGCCACTAACGAACCAGCCGTCTGCAGCTGCAGCAGCAGCAGCAGCAGCAGCACCCGTCACCGGGAGTGCAGGACCCGCCTGCTTTGCAGCAGAAGGGGCATGCAGCGGGCTCGGGTAACTTGTCGTTGGAGGAGTACGAGAAGCAGGCAATGATCGAGGTTGAAGAGAAGACCAAAAATGGGAGGAATTCCAACAAGCAGGGCACCGGCCAAAAGGACAAGAATCCCATGAAGAAGCAGGGCACCGGCAAAAAGAACAAGAATCCCATGAAGAAGCAGGGCACCGGCAAAAAGAACAATCCCATGAAGAAGCAGACCACCGGCGACAAGGACAAGCATCAGACGAAGGCGAAGAAAGTGATGAAAAAGCCTGCTGCTAAGAAAGCTGCAGAGGGCTACGGTTGCAAGCGATGCCGAGGTAGCGGCTGTGATGTTTGCGAGAACCCGAACTTTGCGGGGATGAGGTTGGTTGGTAGAGAAGCTTGGAAGGCTTATATGCACCAGCAAAAGCGAAAGCTTTGCTAGATTGTTGTTTTAGCTTGCTTGCAGAAACTGCATGCAGCTTGGAGTGATCGTACAGTTGATCCACTCATGGGGCAAGGGTGTGCACATACATGCATGCTGCGAAGTCAGGAATGACATGATCGTGCCGGGGACTTTTGCAATGCGAGGCAAACATGAATGCTTGCAGCTTGTGTTGCCATGTCTGCATGTTGCCTTCAGATGCTACATGAGCATGTCCGTGCATGGCTATATCAGTTCAGGCCGTGCATGCATGTGCAATCGGGCACAAGGAAGACTATAAAGTCTATCTGTAAGGTTTTTTTAGTATTACGGTTCAGTGTTTGCGGTTTATACAATGTTACGTAGGTTCTTTTCAGACTATGAGTGTTTGTAAGGTACATTTGCCCCGAAGTTTTTGTAAGAGTAACTTGCATGTGAAAGGTATGCAACCCTCTGTACTGCATATATGAAAGCGCTTTCGTGTGTTCGTGTGTCTATATGCATATGTATATGCAAGCATACTTACCCATATAGGTATATACATACAGGTTCCTTCGTTGCAGCATATATACTTGAACATACATGCATACATGCATACATGCATGCACATACATACATCAGACATACATACATACAATCTGCAGGTCTATATACATATAGATACATTTATGTACATACATATCCATATATACTGCCATGCATGCATACATATATACATACACGTATATTTGTAAATGCATACACACACACAAGCTTACACATGCATGCACATATATAGAGACATATATTATACCTTCATCATAGACAGAACTGTATACACAAAGAGTGCATGAAGCATTCTTTGTGCATTGTTTCGAAGCAAGATGGAAGCTGCATCGACATCTTCGGCACCTAGAAAGAAGCAACAGCGGGGGCACGAAGCAGAAAGCTCTCGCTCGGCCAAACTACAGAGATTGGATGGGTTCAGAAGGCAGTTGCCTTTTGTTACTTGCTCAGCTTTGAGTTGCATCTTGAGTTTGGTCGAAAAGGAAGGAATTCCAGAAAAGCATTCGAGGCATGACATGAAGCAAGCAGTGAAACAGGCCATTGCAAGTTGCACTGCCTATGGGGCCCTTGTGCAACAACTTCCGGCGAAGTCACTGGCCGGTGCAGACCTTAACATACCATGCATCAACCTGGCGAGTCTTATTCAGGGCATGTATGCAGCAGGTGGTTATTTTTACCAAATGTTGAATCATGTGCACGAAGCATCACCATCCAGCATAGGATCCCCCTGGCGGGGGGTCCTTTATTCCGATGAAGTACACCCGGGCAATCAGTTGTCCTCCCAAGGGCGAAAAGTCTGGGCGGTGTATTTCTCGTTTCTGGAGCTGTCACCGAAGTTGCTTTCGAACGAGCATCATTGGTTTACACTGATGGTGGTCAGAACCGAACTGGTGCAGAAGGTGTCGGCTGGTATAGGCCAATGTTTGAGGTTGCTGCTTGAGTCCATGTTTGCCAACGAGTTCGGAAATCCAGAGCATGGCTTGGCATTGAAGGGGCCGAGCAAAAGCATCAGACTATTCTTTACACTTGCTATGACACTTCAGGACGGAAGTGCACAGAAACACACATACTCGAACCGGCAAGATGCCGGTTCGAGAGTTTGCATGCTTTGTAAGAACATCTTTTCCCTACGGTCAAAAAGCTCTGAGGATGATGTCAAGATATCGGCAAAACATTTGACATGGGATGCATGCCATCAAGCTACAGACGATGAGCTCTTGGAATCGTGGGAACGAATGGAATCAAGACACCGGACAGAGTCCAAAAGCAAGTTCCAACAGTGGCAACAGGCTTGTGGGTGGTCTTTCTCGCCGCATGCCCTGATGATGAGCACTGTTCTACGAAGTCTGAATGTATTGCGGCCGGCTTCGCAATATTGCTTTGATTGGATGCATTCTTTATGCAGCATGGGAGTCCTCAACTGCATAATCCTGTGGGTGCTGGAAGCCACTGGAAAAGCTGCTACCTTTCATGACTACTTGCAACTCTGGCAATGGCCGAAAGCCCAGAAAGCAGCGGCACTGCACAAGCTGTTCAGCCAGGAGAAGATGAAGGCACACAGGAAGGCAAATTACATCAAATGCTCAGCCTCTGAGGTTTTAGCAATTTCAAAGCCTTTAGAATATTTTTTGCATACCTGCTGCCCCAGCCCGGATGACACTCTTGCAAAGGAAGCTTGCTTGTCTTGGTTGGAAGTCTTGGCCATCTTGATAGCTTGTACACTACAACTGCCTCCAGCAGGCCTTTTGTTGCAGACTGTCGAGCGAGCATTGTCCCTCACCGTCGCCGCCGGGTGGGGAGACCAGATGGCTCCGAAGTTTCATTGGTGTTTACATTTTGAGGCATGTCTGTCACGATTTCGATGCATGCCAGCATGCTGGACACTGGAGCGAAAACACAAATCAGTGCGAAAATACGGCACAGCTACCAGCAACACCACCAACTTTGAACAAGGGTTATTGGAGGAGACAAATGCTGAACAGCTTGCCTTGCTTTCGAGCGACACTCCATTTCGAGCTGGCCCTCATCTCCTGCAGCCTCACCCCGTATCCGCCAAAGTAATGGCACAACTTCTGCAGAGCAACATCGTGTCTGAGAGTGATTCCTGCAACTGCAGCAAAGAGTGCCGGCTAGCTTCTGGTGCTGTCTTGCATACCGGTGATGTTGTTTTGCACCATGCAGCTGCCGACAATGAATCACCCATCCCCTTTTGCTGTGGCCGACTCCAATGGCTTATCGAAGTGGACGGCTATGTTGCAGGTGTTGTGTCCAGATGCGAGTATGTTTCCCATGATGCAGTGAAGCAAGTGGCCAAGTGGAGGATTGCAGGTGAAGCCCTATCCATCATGCAGGTTGATGCTTTCCTGTGCAGTGTAGTTTACAATAACAATGCAGGCATTCTCACCACCCTGCTACCCCGCCACCTGTGCAACAGCATGGCTTGAAGATGTTGCCGGCAAGAAAATCGCAGCAGCCATGCTTATATATGCATGCAACTGATGCTCCACGATCTGTGTTTATTCTTGCATGCATGCAGCATGATTGTAGTACGTATGCATTCATGTCCGATGTTGTGCATAGCATGCATGCACGACATGCATCATGCATGCCTTCATGCTTCGTACACATGGCATGCATGCAGCATGCAAGGCTCCATTGACAAGCATCATGCAAGCCTTCATGTTCCATGTGCAGCATGCAATGCTCCATGCATGCCATGCATGCTCCATGTCATGCATGCAGCATGCAGTGCATGCAGCATGCAGTGCTCCATGGACATGCATCATGCATGCGATCGTGCTCCATGATGCATGCCATGCATGCAGCAGGATTGTAGCAAGAATGCCTCCATGCTCGATTGTGCATGGCATGCATGCAGCATGCAATGCTTCATGGCAAGCCTCATGCAAGCCTTCGAGCAGGCTCCATGTGCATGGCATGCATGCAGCATGCAATGCTCCGTGACATGCTGCCATGCATGCATGCAACAAAACAATACTCCATGTCATGCATCTCGCAGACGACGAATGGGATTTGGACGGTACTTTTGCAGGCAGGCATGCTTTTGCCGGAGCCAGTTGAGCTGCATGCTTGTTTGCTTCTCGAACAGCTAGTTGGGTTGATTCTAATTTTCAACCCTCTGAGATCTGTATTCTCGCTTTGTTAATTCTTTGATTTTTGTGCTGTAGACTTTTGTTTTCTTTGCTTTTAACTCGCAAATTACCGAAAACAGTTTTGAGATTTCACTTCTCAAATCTTCATGTTCTGTCATTACATAACCATAAATTTCACCATTGATATACTTAGTTTCCAGGTTGCTAACCCCTTAGCCTAACTTCGCTAAACCCCCTTAATAAAGGCCCTAAGTTGCTTAGCTAACCCTCGCAATTGTACCAACCACTTATAACATGTTAGCAACACCCGAAACATTCAAGCGTGACTGCATGACAAAAGCAAGGCCGAAGCCGGGCCTGGTCGGCGTCAAGCTCCGGGAGCTCCGCCTTCGGGAGCCGGGCCACCATCGGCGCCGTCGCCTCCTCCCCTGAGCCAGCGCTGGAAGCGAATTCTGCCGCAGCTGCGCTCTCGACGAGGCTCGTGCCACAGCGAAGGTCACGGCCATCGCCTCGTGAACCGGCGAAGGCTTCAGGCTTCGGACTTCGGCCACTGGGATCCATGTTGCGCCGCGTCGGGCCGCGCCTAGCCAGCCTTCGCCCTCGGGCTCCCAAGCCCGGTGCAAGCAGTTGCCTCTCCGGCGCTCGCGTTCGGATTCAAGAAGCGGCCCGCCGAAGCCCGGGAGGGGAGTGCCTGCGCATCCCTCCGGGACCAGTGCCTCGACCTGGCAAAACGATCCAGCAGTTCGCTCTTCTTGTCACTACTCGTGCCAATCTCGCTCTGTGACCTCGCCACGGAGAATCAGGATCGCCGAGTCTCCCATCACGCCAGGCTTAAGGATTGTCTGCCCATCAAAGTAATACCTCGCAGACGCAGCGCAAGCAGGAAGAAGTGAGACAAAAACTGAGAGACTGAGAGAGTCAGAGTTGTCTATTTTTGCCGCTCTCCGGGGCCTCTCCTCGATGCCTTCCGGCAGTGGGCCGGACACAGAGGTGCCCAGCGCGTTGTCCACCATGAACACCGACTGGAGGGAAGGGCTCGAGGTGGGGCGGGGAGCACGGCAAGCAAAAAGCCGGCTCTTTCTGCCTGGCCACCGAGCTGGAGGAAGTCGAGCGGCGTGTCTGGGCCATCCACTGGTCCAGGGTTCCACGTCAGCAGATTCCGTGCTTCCTAGCAAGACGTTAAGTGCAAAAAGTGCACCAGCGGGCAATCCAGGCGGCCTTGTGGTTCAGTGAATCGATGCGGTCTAAGGACAGCTCGTTGAAGTAGGCCACCTCCGCGATGGGACCCCCCCTTGCCGGACCCCACAACCTTCCGCCTCCCACGGCGGCCCTCTCCTCCTTCCTCCAGCGAGGTCTCGTGATCGGCTCGTCCTCGGGGTCCTGTCTTAAGAAACTTAAAACTCTAGAAACAACTCTGGAGCCCTCTTGCGACTCCCGCCCTCCGCCGGCCCATCCTCGGGCTGCTCCGCTTCCTCGTCGAGCACCTTCTCTTGCAGCCTCCAACAAAACGCAGCTCCCACTCCCCCCATTTGTGGAAGCAAAGCCGTCGGCTCCAGGGCTCGGGCAGCTCCGTCAGAGCCTGGCGCCCTACAAAGCGCACGCGGGCGCCCTCGGGCCCCGCACGCAGGGCGCAGGTGCGCTGTTCCGAGCCGACGCCCAAGAACTCCGTGATGCCCTGAACGCGGGAGCACGCACCAGCACCGCGAGGAGACGCGTCACCACGCATCATGACATGTGCCGCTTGCATCGCCTCGCAGTCGCCGCGTTTCAGGACTCGCACGATGCAAAGGCCTCCCTGACACACTGATATCGGATTTCGGCAGAGAACGTGAGTGGCTTTTGGAGCCTGCGGCGCATCGCCTACAAGCTTCTCGACGGTGCCCTTGATGATCACAACCTGCAAAGATGGCCCAGCTGCAGGATATCCTGGGCTGCCGGGCTGCTCTCAAATCTGACCAACTTGTCGTCGTAGTCGCCGCCCCGGCAGATGTACCTCCCATTCGTTGGACTGGCATTGGACTTCGCTTGCTGTCGCCGGGAATGGCCACTCCCCGGGGTCCAACTTCATGCCGATAAACGGCCGATGCAGCGGAGGCCTCAACCCGGCGGGGACCGCTGCCATTTGTTGCTCAGCTCCTGTCTCCTCTCAGAGTTCCCTGCAGCCGGTCTTTGGGCAGCTTCTCCAGCGTGCAAATCTCATCATAGTCGGGATCGTACCACGTCTCCTGCCAACTCGCTCGCGGCCTTTAGGCTCTTCGGCACGTCTGGCACGCTCCTTTCCGGCATCGTGGTACTCCCACTCTCGGATCGCTCTGAGCCTGAAACACGAAGCAGATGCTTGTCCGTAAGAAGTGGGCAGGGATCCTCCTGAGCGTCAGTCAACAGCCGCTTGAACTCGATGCTGCAGCCCTGGTGCCGCACGAGCGAAAGTTGCACGAAGCAACACCTGTCTTGCGAACAGCCTTGAACAGAGGCATGTTCAGCACGAGGCCATCGTCCAGGGCCCAAGCCTTCAAGCCGTGTAGCATGACATCATGATTCTGGCTCCATCACGTTCCCACTGTTCCCACATCCCGCAGCACCTCACCCGTCCAGGCTTCGCGGCGGCGGGGTCTCCGCGCTACGGACCCGGTGGCTGAGGAACCTTCGTCCTCGTCCTTGGACCGTGGCGGTGCTGCCTCGGCAGCCTCCGACATCTCGACCTTGGAGATCACAAGGACAACTCAGCTCAGAACCCTCACGTCACATACGTCACTCCGGTACCAAGCGCCTGCAGCGCACAAGTATGGGGCGCCTACTGTTTGAACAAAGACACCGTCTTAACACGACATCCCTCATGAACCCATGGTTTGCATTGCGAAACATACAACGAGTCTGAGAGCACTCTAGAAACATCCCGGGATGAAGACAGCAGCGTGCAGAAAATCCGACGACATCATCAAAAGCAAAGCGCTTGGCAGCAAAGTTGGCATCACTGCCAGACTTCGTTACAGATAAATTGCGAATCCCAGGCCGAGTACTTGGTTTCACGGTATATGCCTATATCAACTGCGTGTGCTGGCTTCCTTGGCATGGCAGGCAAAGGCAGCGGCTGAAACACTGGACAACGGCCTTGGTCAACGATCCAAATCACGCCTAGAAGGCTTAAGGTTTCCTGGCCTGTGCTAGAGGACGACTTCTCTGACCAAAGCTCACGATGGACTTGCTCGAACTTGCGGAGTCTACGGTTCATGTGGCGAATGATGGGCAAAGGATGTCATAGCTTGAGGTTCCCATGACTCTCCTAGCGTTACGTACTCAGGCAACATGCCACCTGAAATCCTGTGACCTGAGTGCTGGTCTGGTCCGAGTGCTGGTCTGGTGCGAAGGCACCTGCTGTTCAATGAAACTCAAGTAGAGCGGCCCGGCTGCGGGAAGAGAGGTTGTTCGAGCGAGACATCAGTACCGTGGGTGAACCAATGCGTATCGTACAAGGCAGGGGCGGTCTGAACCGGCCTGAGATTCTCCCTGCAAGGCGAGATCTGATCTCACACGTGGGTGGAAGATCTTTGTCAAAGTTCGTTTCTGTGCTCCTCGCAACTGCGCCGCGTTGCAGGGGCACGGGTCCCGACCACGGCGTCTAAAATAAACGTCGTGCTGCAATGCATTTGCATGCAAGCTCTTTCGCACGACAACGGCCCGTCAGACGCCTTATCCCGCGAAGGCCTCGCCTGTGTAAGCTTTAATAGAGCGGTTAATTGCTGAAAGATGCGAGATGATGCGAGTTTCTGTCCCTTGTACTTTGAAGCATCTCTTGCTCTGATGTGGGAGAAGGCGCTGGTAGCTCTAGCGGTACTCTCTTCGAAGATCTTGGAAAAGAAGTCCCCAGCCATCGCCGTGCTGCGTGTGCATTTTCCCCAGAGGAAGACTTCCAGGCTCACAGACTGCAGATTGGGGCGGCGCGTGTATGTAGTCCTTTACGGTGATGATGATGTTTGGCATGAGCGGTTCCTGCTACTCCCCGGGGATGACAAAAGGCATTATTGGATATGGACTCCAGATGATGATGTCTACGAGGAGGGCAAAGGTGCTGGTGCAGCGGGTCTCCTCCGGAGCCTTTTCGAGCCAGTTGGCCCGAAGCAATGTTGGCGCCTTGCGGAGACACGAGGCTCCTTCCAACTTGGGGACCGGATGGGCTGTCTGAGCAGGGAGCCCACTGAGGCTATATGCCGCAGGTGCCCAGGCTGCACCAGGACCGGAGGTGATCATGGAAACTCCACTGATGATCGTGATCTCTGCTGCTGAGGAGCACTGGAGATCTTTGGCGGAGGCGGTGCCGGAGTATGAGGAAGTCGATTTCGATGACTTCCCGCTGCAGGGCCGAGAAACAGTCTACTCAGGGACGTCAGGCAGTGCGGCGGAGCGGGATGGACTTCATCTGGCACCACGAGTCTTGGATAAAACATGGGGTGAGAGTTACTGACACGTCGGTTCGAAAGATCATGAGCACTCTTCGATTTGCCGGGAGTTGAACCAATTAAATTTGCAAGCTTCTCCGGAGGAGGCCCGAAACCTCCTCTTATGATCCGGGGTCGGATGAAACCCTTGGCCGGATCAAGCGGGAGGCCACCGACGGCACGATCGTGGACCCAGCCCTCACGCAACATGCCGCCCGTCGTCATGCAAGCTGCCAAGGCCGAGATCCTCAAGCAGAATCGGCTCGCGGCAGAGGAGAAGTGCCACGCTCGGCGGAGCTGAACCCGTCATGTTGAGAGACCCGTTGCCGCCTCTGGAGGGGGACGTGATTGTAACAGGCTGTCGGATGGAGAGATTGTGTGGGTCCTAGAATTGGGGTTCGAGAGAGACCGCTACATGGACCCATTGCTAGAGCGTAGCCCGACCAAGTACCATCAGCTGATTGCCGATTTGCACGGAGCGAATCTCCTCGGTCACACCGTTGACCCACAAGTTCAAGTAGGGTTATTTTGCGTCAGCAAGAAGCTCAGCGGGCTCATGATCCATGGTGGTTTCCGCGAGATGGTCGCCCGCGAGGGCTCGAAGACCGAGGTCTACGACGAGGCCTTGATCTTGGACGCCTGCGCAGGTGCCATGGTTCAGCCCGGCTTTGAACATGCATGTGAAGGCTCGCTTGGGGCAACAGGAGGATGCGAATATGTGGAGTTTCCACGGTGGCGAAGCACCTTCAGGTTTAGCGCCTCTGCACAGCAAGAGGCTTTGGACGTACAAGACCTGGCGGTCAGCCCTTACCAGAACCGCCATGGGGGTGCGTCGCGCGATCATGTCCTGAAGCTCAGGTAGGTTCAACGAGGTCGTTGGGCTGAGGGCCCCATTGCCAGGATCTACAAGATGTGGCAAAAGCTTGTCACGGCAAGCGCTGCCTGAGTTTGTTAGGTGGGGCCCTAGAGATTGCCAAAATTTCGTAACCAGTGGAGGGGAGGCTGCGTTCATTAACTTTGCCGATGTTTGACGTTGCCGGCATTGTTATGCCGTGCAATAGTTGCGCGAGCCAGGAAGGCACCGGTGCATTCAAGCATGCCATCCGCGCTCGGGCGATCACAGTCCCGAAATTTTTGGACAGCCACACCTGGCCTCTCGAGGCTTCCAGAAAGTGAGCCTACCGCCTGTTCTTGAAAGTCATATGCAGATGTTTGCGCTTGAATGTGTGCGGCTACCCCTTGAAAAGCCTCGAAGTTCACGCCTCTCAAATCCAGTGCCTGTTGCAGGACCACCGAGTTACTCTGATCCGCACCGACCTGTCGGTACGGGACTCAATGGCGAAAATCCACTCCCTACTTGTCCGGGGTGTACCACGATTCGTATCCTGCGGGAAGATGAGAGATGGGATATGAAATTCTCTTCAGGGCATTGTTGAGCCGATAGCCTCGAGGGCTGTGCGGCTCAGCTTTGAACGGATGGAACTGCAGGCCACAGGCCAGGTGCTCCTTTCATACGCATTGACACGCATGGGTGTGCACAAACAGTGCTTGCGCAAGCTGTCATGCCAACATCCGAAAGAATCTCTAAGCTTTAACGTGTATAAGGATGCGAGTTTCTGTCCCTTGTACTCTGATCCTTGTACTCTGATCTCTTGCTCTCCCGTCCTCGCCGCCCGTCTCCCCGGCCCCAATTCCCCATTTCGAAACGGCTGAGTGCGCAAAGTCTTACTGTCGTTGCCCTGGCACAAAGGCGGCCGCGGGCATGTTGCGTTTGCGGATCCCGGGGCATCTTTTTAGCGACTGAACAATTGCGAAAGATTCGCTGGATTCCGCCAGCTGCAGACGGCGATTTCTGCGCACGTTGCTTGCAAACAAGGATTCCGATTTGCGAGTGCGACTACATCGGCAAGGCAAGGACTCGCAGCACACAACAACACCAAGGAGCCTCGCGTACACGGCGGGGCAGTATCCTTCATCACATCAGTCAAAACAGAAGGATCACAACTGCTGAAGTAGACGTGCTAGCGCAACATCTCGCTGAAACGGCCCCCAAAGATCATTAAAGCGATGTCTTTATTGCGCCGTGCAAAAAGTGCTATGACGCCATGACCCGCGAAAAATGAGGTTCGTCAAAGGTTTCGCCACAGATACAGAGCCTACGGAGCCCGTCGTGCATTGGTCAGGGAGGTGCGGGACACCGAAATTTGATAGGAGCATACAAGCATCTTTAAGCCAAGCTTCAACAACGACTTAAGACGCATTATCCGAGCTTCTGAAGCGTCATTTCTGACAAACTTCTTTTCAGCCCCTCCAGCGCCTAAGCTTTTCAAGCTTCCAAAGCTTCTATTCCGAAAAGTTTCTTTTCAGCCCCTCCAGCGCCTAAGCGTCTCTAAACGCCTAAAGCGTCTATTCCGACAAGCTTTTGTTCAGGTCTTCTGTCGTCTAGGCGGATTTAAGCGTTCAAAGCGTCTTTTCCGGGAAGCGTCTTGTTTTCCTATTCGCCACTGCAGGTCGTAAACGTACGTTCCGTAGCTGCAGGCTATTTGCCGCTGCAGGTCATAAACGTACGTTTCGTAACTGCAGGTTATTTGCCGCTGCAGGTCATGAACGTACGTTTTTCGTAACTGCAGGTTAACAGCTGCACTTCATACAACGTATACGTCTTGTAACTGCAGGCATACTACTGCCGCAGCAGGTCATAAACGCACGATTCGTAGCTGCAGGCATACTATGATTACTCATGGCTCGCATATTTCCACAGTGCGTTTCGCAACTGCAGGGCATAAAAGGCATATATATATATGAGGCAGGAACCTTTATGTATAATGTGTCGCTCGTTCTTTGTGTAAATACTACAAATAAATCGTCTATACACTGCAACATTATGTTTAGTGTTCCTCATCGACAGCTGCCTGATGGGACAGCACCATTGGAGGGTCGATGAGCATGGCACGTGCAACAACTTCGGAGGCACCGCAAGCACTGACTGCTATTTTGAAACAGGGCCCTCGCCTGTCTGACTAGGTTGGAGGCGTCCCACCCTCTCTTCTTGAACGTTTGCTCGCTTCCCGCTTTTTTGAAAGGTAACGGGGATAGACAGGATCTCTTTCCCCTACCTAGAAAGAAGGAGGCCTATGCTCATGGTTTAACGGGGCTCTCTTCTTGCTCGATAACTCGTAGGGACCTGTCTGTCGGTTTATGGAAATGGAGCTTTCTTCTGTCTCATTAGATTGGATGAAGCTTTCAGTCCCTTCTTGTCGAAGATG